GTCTGCTAGGAGGGCAGCATGGGAGCTGGTGACACCCAGCAAATGGGATAAACTGATCGGGAAGGCTGTGATTGGCTGCACACTGGATACTTTTGAAGCAGTGATGGAGAGGAGGTCACTAAACAAGCAGATAATCCTCTGCACCGCTTACTGGACAGGCAGCAGAGCACCTTCTCTAACACACTGATGGAGCTGTGCAGCCATGACGACAGATACAGGACAGCTTTCATATCACATCAGTTATCTGTTTTTGTTTTTTTTAAAGATTCAGTTGCCACCTGAAATTCTGCAATGCTTTCCTGATTTTAAAATATACCACTTGTTATATATTATTATGATTTTTTACTTTAAGGCAAAGGATAAAGAAACACCTCAATTTTTCCTTTGCTGTCAGGAAAAACAGTTGACGTTGCTCATTAATCATCGGCTAATAGAAACAGCTCGGTTGTTCTTCTTCCGCGCTGTGCAAAGAAAAAATCAGAAGTACATACGTTTATAGAGATGTGCAGTGATTACTGCAGGTGTAATTTTTGCTCACAGAAACAGTTCAGTGTCGGTTGTTCCTCTGAATATGATTGTCGGCGCACACTTTGCTATGAAACGGTGGAGTGCGGTGGAGCGAGGACTTGTGAACTGAAGCAAAGGGCGTGGGAGAGACAGAGACGGTTGTTGTGACTTAATGGCTTTGTTTCCAGACAGGATGGTTTGTGGTTTCGGGCCTGCTGACAGGAGTAATGGTGGGAGGGATGAGACATGGAGCTTTGGATCAGTGTGGCTCACCAAACCACACACATGCACAGACATGCACGTACACGCACGGCTAGAGAGTGACTAGTCGGTGGCTTCACATGAATCACACAGCCAGCAGAGACACATTCAGTCGCACTCGCATTTCACACACTCCCACACACACACACCTAAGAAAAAGACAAGCTACTCTGGGAATTTGTGGCTTTGTGCTGATATCTGAAATGATTGTTGGGCAGCATAAAATGTCTCACAAATGAATATCACGCAAACACCAACAGCTATATAGCCTGTCAAACTGCAACTTTTCTCTTTTTTTTCTCATTACGCATTTTTGTCAAGTACAGGCCACAGGAGATGATTCATGATACATACTATTAATGTCAGCGTCTGAATCCTGTTGTACTGACTCACTGCCATGAACACTTGCCATGTCTTTTCTTTTTCTCCTCTCTTTCTTCCTCTCCCACTCTCTTGTTCTGCTCCCACCACAGGTGGCGAGTACATTCATTTTCACTTTTGTGGGGGTGCTGGCTGTAAGGCTGTGATTTCTGACTGTGCATGTGAGAGAAGGGGGAGACGGGGTGCTTAGGGATGCAATATGGGGTGATTTTAGCTGCGCGTGTGGGCTGAAGGCGCTGTGCATATGGCTGAGCTCATGCATACATGGACATATTTTGTACAGATACTTCCACATCAATTACCAGCTCAAGGACCTGAAGCTAACCTCGCGTAACCTTCTGCATAATATGAAAAGTGACTGTCTTTGGCAGTATTTTGTGCAATCTGTAAATGTTACATTAATTGCTGGGTGTAACACACACATGCTGGGAGGTAGTTGGTGAGGATTGTGGACTGTCATGACTGTAACTGGCAACATCATTTACAAACCGGATTGCAAAAAAGTTGGGACACCAAACAAATTGTGAATAAAAACTGAATGCAATGATGTGGAGATAGCAAATGTCAATATTTTATTCAGAATAGAACGTAGATGACAGATCAAAAGTTTAATCCGAGAAAATGTATCATTTCAAGGGAAAAATATGTCGATTCAAAATTACACGGTGTCAACAAATCCCAAAAAAGTTGGGACAAGTAGCAATAAGAGGCTGGAAAAAGTAAATTTGAGCATAATGAAGAGCTGGAAGACCAATTAACACTAATTAGGTTAATTGGCAACAAGATTGGGTATAAAAAGAGCTTCTCAGAGTGGCAGTGTCTCTCAGAAGCCAAGATGGGTAGAGGATCAACAATTCCCACAATGTTGCGCAGAAAGATAGTGGAGCAATATCAGAAAGGTGTTACCCAGCGAAAAATTGCAAAGACTTTGCAGTTATCATCATCAACTGTGCATAACATCGTCCAAAGATTCAGAGAATCTGGGACAATCTCTGTGCGTAAGGGTCAAGGGCGTAAACCCATACTGGATGCCCGTGATCTCCGGGCCCTTAAACGACACTGCACCACAAACAGGAATGCTACTGTAAAGGAAATAACAGAATGGGCTCAGGAATACTTCCAGAAACCATTGTCAGTGAACACAATCCACCGTGTCATCCGCTGTTGCCAGCTGAAACTTAACAGTGCAAAGAAGAAGCCATTTCTAAGCAAGATCCACAAGCTCAGGCGTTTTCACTGGGCCAGGGATCATTTAAAACGGAGTGTGACAAAATGGAAGACTGTTCTGTGGTCAGACGAGTCACGATTCAAAGTTCTTTTTGGAAATTAATTTTCATTTCTAGAAAGAGCTCTGACTCCTACACATAAGCATAAATGCCCAAAAAGCAGATAATTTAAGGCAAGTGAAATTCCCCCTAAAAATGAAACAAACAAAAGACAAAACAAACAAAAAAAATTGTGATAGACAACTTAAAGGTCAAGATGAGTATTTACAGAGCTGATTTAAATGTGTGCACATCACATATTTTAAGCATATGTACAGCCACATATCATCAGCATAGAATGACTAGAGGGAAGAGAATGGGGCCTAGAATGCAGCCTTGGGGTACACCACAGAGAACTGAAATTGACTGACAAATAAAATCAGTTTGTTGCAATTGAGAAATTAACTACACCACTACGCAATTAAAAAGTAAAGGAACAGCTTTAATTAAGACGATGTGATTACTGTCTATATTTAATACTAAATCTGGGCGATCGTGGCTCAAAGAGTTGGCAGTTCGTCCCGTAACCGGCTCGGACAGTCTCAGTCGTTGTGTCCTTAGGCAAGATACTTCACCTACCGCCTACTGGTGTTGGCCAGAGGGGCTGATGGCACGATATGGCAGCCTCGCTTCTGTCAGTCTGCCCCGGGGCAGCTGTGGCTACAACTGTAGCTGCCTCCACCAGTGTGTGAATGTGAGAGTGAATGAATAGTGGAATTGTAAAGCACTTTGAGGGCCCCGAAAAGCGCTATATAAATGCAATTATTATTATTAAAGGATTTCTTGCTCTTATACTGACACAGAAAAGCAGTGCAACAGGCTTTGAGAGTATAAGATCCACCATGTCCAAAGCTTGGATGGGCAATTTATTTTCCCAAGGGGTCATATGGCAAACTAGGACTGTTGAGGAGGGCCGCATAAGCGTATTGGCATGGCGCTCCACAACAGTCCCAGTTTGCCATGTGACCCCTTAAGAAAA